ATTTCAGCCATTTGTTTTTGATCTGACTAAATGGCAAGTCCACAGCCTTGGTAGTTTTTCAGGAAACCAAGATAAATATTGTTATTTATTCCATTTACAATTGGCAATTAAGTTTGCTTTCAGGCACCAGAATGGAATTTAAAACATTCATAAGTAATTTAAAACACTCATAAGTAAACCAGATTAATCAAAGGCAGCCTGCTTTTCTCTCCAAAACATTAAAAACATAAATAAATAAAATAAAATAAGGGTAAAAGCCTCTCAAGGGCAAAAGGCCTGGAGACCATACCCTCACCAGTCCCTTCCAGACTCTGCTCACACTCACAGGGTGACTTGCTTTGTGTGCATGTGTGTGTTTAAAAGGCCCCAGAGACCTGGCTTCTACTGTCTCCTGTCTAAATCACTGTGTAATTTGGGCAGGTTATTGGACCCTCTGGGCCCCAGCTCTTCATCTGTTGAAATGAGGAAAGGGGAGGCCTGGGATGCTCTGTCCTTCAGTCAAAGGCTGATTTTTTCTGGGTAAGGCAGAGTAGCTTTCAGATGAGAACTGGGAAGAAAGCAAGCTGGAGAAAAGGCAGGAAAGAGAGAGAGAGAGAGAGAGATGACAAGTGTCCCTTCCAGTTCTGCAAATCCCATGATCCATTAGCTGGGTGAGGAAAGGAAGGATCTTCTAAAATGTCCTGTCACCCACCTTCCTCTTCCCTTTGGGAAGTCTCATTCTCAGGGCTCAGGGGAGTCTTAAGAAATAACACTGGGTTGAGTGTGATGGCACATTCCTGTAATCTAGTGACTGGGGAGGCTGAGGCAGGAGCATCAAAAGTTGGAGGCCAGTCTCAGCAATTTGGCAAGATGTTCAGCAACTAAATGAGAACCTTTCTCAAAATAAAAAATAAAATGGGCTGGGATGTAGYTCAATGATTAAGCTCCCTTTGGGCTCAATCCCCAGGAAGAAGAAGAAAAAGAAGAAGGATGAACACTGGAAAAGGGTGCCTGCGGATCATCCCCAAGGAAAATCCAGACAGATCTGACAGGTTCTAGCTGGAAGCAGCACAAGAATAGCATCAGGCTCACTTCAAAGCATCTCAGCCTTCTCAGGTGATGATTAATTTTAAGCAAACATCAGTGACCATTACAAGAATTCAAATTCTCCACAGTGAGGTGGGGAGAGGACCCACCTCTCAGCAGTTGTGTGAATAGGGAGGTTACAGATCCTGTGGAGCTCCAGTKTCTCCTCTCTGTGTGTGAAGGAGGGTGGTTATGATGCCCACTTCCTTTCTGGTTGTAAATATTCAGTTAGTGAGGGTGACATTAAAAAATGAGAGAACTTGAAGCACCTATGACAAGCAAGGAAAGATAAAGTACCTGCCCCAGAGACCCTTCCTGGCTGGGGAGGGAGCCATCAAGAATAGTAATTCTGGGCAGGTGCAGTGATGCTCCCCTATAATCAGGAGACTGAGGCAGGACGATCATGAGTTCAAAGCCAACCTCAGCAACTTACCAAGGCCCTAAGCAACTTAGCAAGACCCTGTCTCTAAAGAAAAAATAAAAAGGACTGGGGATGTGGCTCAGTAGTTAAGTGCCTTTGGATACTCTCAATCCCTAAATCCCTGGTACCAAAAAAAAAAAAAAGAAAAAAAAGAAAAAGAAAAAAAGAAAGAAATACTAATTCCGATGGAAAAAACCCTCAGGGATACAGATCAAGTGTTGTGGGGTTTGCAGCTTACTGTGGACACCTGAGGAAGGGTGACTCATTTCTACTAGAGCAATGACCAAAGGCCTTGTATGAGGTGTCATTGGATATGGGCCTTGAAGGCAGAAAGAAGGCAGGTGGGGAAAGGACCCACTTCTCAGAAGTTGTGTGAATAGGAAGGTTACATTTCCTATGGAGCTCCAGTTTCTCCTCTCTCTGCGGGAGGGAGGGGTGGTTATGATGCCCACTTCTTTTCTGGTTGTAAATATTCAGTTAGATGTGCATTAAAGTATCTGGCCCATGCCTGTTTAACTCTGAGTTGCAGGTAAAGCAATGGCAAATGTGGGCTGAGTTGTAAGAGGTAACTGTGGAAAGAAGACTGCATATGTTGATAGCGACTATCTCTGGGAGCCAGAGTTCAGGGCCATGTTTACTTACCTTTATCCTGTTTTATATGGGTTGGACCCTTTATAGTTAATACATGTTATTTATATAATGGTTAAAAAGTGTTTTGTAATCAGGCATGTTTGGCACACACCGGTAATCCCAGCAACTCAGTATGAGGCCAGAATATTTGGGTTTGAGGCCAGCCTCAGTAACTTAGCGAGACCATGACTCAAAATAAAAAATGAGGGCTGGGATRTAAATTGTCCTGTGTTCAATCCTCAATGCCAAATAAACAAAGTGCTTTATTAAAACAGAAGAGGGGTTGGGGTGTGACTCAATGATAGAGTGCGTAACTAGCATGAGTAAGGCSCTAGGTTAGAGCCCCAGCACCCTCAAAAAATAAAACTAAACAGAAGAAAAGCTATTGTATTTTTGATACTTTTTTTCCTCCTTACAAGTGTCAAAGTATACATCTTGAGGTTTATACTTAGAGTAACAAAAATTCTGTGTTTTTCTGCACTGAAACAGTTTTCAATTATTTGAGTTGATTCTAATTTTGTTTTGCTGTCCTGTAAGTAACCTTTTCTTTAAGAACAAACTCTTAATCACGMCAGAAATTTTCATGTCCATCGATAATTACTGCCTAGAATATCTGGCTATTGTATTTTTATACTTTAAACAATTCAAACCTACAGAAAAGTTGCAATGTTCAAAGAACTCCCATATATTCTTCACCCAGATTTACTTAACATTTGACTACATTTGTGCATCTCTCCACGTATGTATATGCTCTCATTGTTTTCTTGCTATTTGAGGGTAAAATGCAGACTTCATTCCCCTACTTATATAAGCATTTCCCTGCCTAAAAACAAGAGCAATCTTGTTGAGATATAGAGGAAAAAACAAAGTGTTTTTCCTATTTGCTCACTGAAGAATCAACACAAAATACTTCTGTGACTCCAGATGTGTGGGGTTTTCTCCCACACATCAAGCAAGCAATTGGTTCTGCAGCAGACACTGGCTGAGTGTCCCACAAGGATTTTAGGAGTCCCATGTGATGAAAATGGACTCCCCCATTTTTTTTACATCATACTTATACAGCCAGTATCATAATCAAGATAAATTTAACATCAACACAATATTATCATTACGAATTTTTTTTTTTTTTGAGAGAGAGAGAGAGAGAGAGAGAGAGAGAGAGAGAGAGAGAGAATTTTAATTCTGATTTTTTTTCGGCGGACATAACATCTTTGTTTGTATGAGGATGAACCCGGGCCGCACGCACGCCAGGCGAGCATGTTACCGCTTGAGCCACATCCCCAGCCCCAGGAGAGGATTATTATTGACCAAGAATAGGAGCAGGAGCTAACCTCTCAAATCAGCTTCCCACTCCTTAGGGGTTAGGAGGTTATAGATACAGGGTAAAAGAAATCAGGGAGAATAGGCTAATAAAGGGGGAAAATATTCATGTCTTTTCTGGGAATGGGCAGAGATTTTTTTTCCCTGGGAATTCAGGCACCAGCTCTGTTTTGAGCCTTTTCTGGTTCTTTGCGATTGGTTGCTGTCCTAGTAATTGTCAACTGTCATGGTGCTGGCGTGTGTGGTTTAACATGTACATGAGCCTTTTATTTTATTATTTTTTTTTTTAATATTTATTTTTTAGTTCTCGGCGGACACAACATCTTTGTTGGTATGTGGTGCTGAGGATCGAACCCGGGCCGCACGCATGCCAGGCGAGCGCGCTACCGCTGAGCCACATCCCCAGTCCCAGACATGTACATGAAATTATAACGAAGTTAGAGGGTGTCTGGCTGTCACTCTGGCAGCCATCTTAGATCCAGTGAGGTTCATGAGCCCACAGGAAGAGAAACTGCTGGCCTTCAGGCATACAGCCCTCGAAAATAAGCAAGATTAGGGCTAGGTAGACATTCGGCTATGTCACTGATTACTGCAGGGTAATACTGTCATCTGATATACAGTCAAATTTTGTTAATTGTCTAATATTGTCCTTTATAGCAACCCCCACCCCAGGGAGACTCATATCCAGGGTCACGTATTGCGCTTAGTTGTCGTGTCTCTTACTTTTCATTTATTTATTCTGCGATGCTGGGGATCAAACCTAGGGTATTGCACATGCTAGGCAAGTGCTCTATCCTTGAGCTATACCCCAGCTCACTTTTCACTTTTAATCAGCAACAGTTCTTCAGTTTTTCTTTGTCATCAAGACAAAGAACAGGTACAGACCAGTTACTACGAAGCATGTCCCTCATCTTGGGTTTCTCGTCTCATCAGATTAATTTGATGCATTACTGAGTGGATGATCCTGCTGTCCTCAGTCGACCACATCCGGAGGCTGCAAGGGATGTCAGTTTGTCCTGCTGTTGAGTTCACGCGGACCACTTGGTTATGGCGGTGTCCGCAGGGTTTCTCCAGCATCGAGTTACTATTTCCCCTTTTTCATTATCAATAATTTGCAGCTACTTATGTAGAAGCCTCCAATGTCCTTTCAATTTCATGGGACCAAAGAAAGGGAGTCTTTTCCTTCCGGAAACGGATCCCTATTTCTTGCTGAAGAGAACAAGAATCACCTCTCAGGTAGCAGCAGCCGTTGTCAATAAAGTTGTGCAAGCGGGAATGCAGACCTTCTCGGAAGGGTGTGGCTAGGCGGCCGCAAGGCCCGCCGGGAATCGTAGTCTCTGGGCGCTCCGGCTAAAGACCTCCCTGCGGTCTCGCCTAGAAGCCGAGAGGGCGGGCGAAGAGAAGCGCGGCGCGCCCTGGCGCGGTGCACCATGGGACTGGAAGTTTGCGGCGTGCGCCCAGCCGCGCCCCGCCGCGCCCGCGCGAAAGGACGGGACTTCCCTACCCGGTGGGCCGCGCGCTCGGGGCCGGGGGTGGCCAGCCCGGGCTCGAACAAATCAAATCGAAGGAAAGAAACTGCCGGCTTTCAAAATCCTCCTCCTCCGCCATCATCCGCCGCGGTGCCGAGAGCAGGTGGTGTAGGAGACACAAGTGACGAAAAGCCCCGGGGGCGCGAGCCGAAGGCGGCTGGGCGTCCGGACCGCTGGACCGGGGGCGGCGAGCAGGTCGGACCCGACCCGGACCCTAAATCCGTCCCTGCCGCTCCGGGCGGACGCTCGCGCTCGGGTCGCCCCACGCGGCTGCGTCGCCTGTTTACGGTAGGGCCAGGGTCCCTCTCTTCTCCCGTCACCTGCCTGGGCTGGGGCGCTGGCGCGGCGGGTGGGCGCCGCTGAGCGCCTTCTGCACGCCCGCGGCCGGCGCGGGCAGGCGGCGCCGGCTATTTCACTAGTGGGTAAACTGAGGCCCAAAGAGGGTGACTTTCTCGCCGCAGCCGCCCAGCCCGCGGCTGCCAGCAGTGGCGTCTCACAGGAGCGTGGGTGTTAACCTGGAGGCGGTGCGAGTCCGCCAGGGTTCCCGGGTGGGGTCCACCGCCGCTGTCACGTTCCGCGGGCCCTCGCGCGTCGCTCCCGGGCCGCCACCTCCCGGCCGGCCCACGCCCGCTGGGAGCCGGCTGGCGCAGCTGCCCGGGATCCGCGTGAATCACCGCCGACACTCGTCCGGATACCTGGACGTGCATCCAAGGACGCCTTCCACGCGGCAGCCGAGAGCGGAGAGGACGTTTTTGTATTAACCGTTTGTCTTTGCTCTTATGTTGGCCCTTTGCTGACCTTGGGCACACCAGTATCTATGCTTTGGTTTCTCAGTCTTTAAAGTGAATGGGGGATAGCGTGCGTGTGTGTGTGTGTGTGTGTGTGTGTGTGCGCGCGCGTGTATGTGTCTTAGTCTTCCTGTGTATGTGTCTTAGTCTTCCTGGCCTGAGCCATAGGAAGTTCTATGTCCTTTCCTCCTGGGCACCCACCACCACCATTTAACTAGCCTAAGATTGTCCCATCTTACATTTGCAGATGGTGATTGGCTTTTAGATTAATTTTTTTCCCGTTTCATCTGGTTATTCTTTGTGCACCTTCTAAATGCCAGGCCTATGCAGATAGTGATTCTGCCAAATTACACCGTCAGAGCATGTTTTTTCCTCTGCTAGAATCCTTTTATCAGTCACTCAAAAGTGAAAACCTCGGATCTTTTTTTTTTCTTGGGGGGGGGACATTTGAACTCAGGGACACTTGACCACTGAGTCAAATTCCCAGCCCTGTTTTGTATTTTACTTAGAGACAGCATCTCCCTGAGTTGCTTAACGCCTGGAAGTTTCTGAGGCTGGCATTGAACTCCAGATCCTCCTGTCTCAGCCTCCTGAGCCTCTGAGATTACAGGTGTGCACCACTGTGCCTGGCTGAAAACCATAGTTCTTAAAATGGCCTTTGTAATGAATTTCTTTTTAATTATCTTTTCTCATCTCCTGTGTCCATTCTCTCTTCTGCTCTATGCTCCAACTCCACTGGCTTCCTTGAGTTCCTCCATTCCCCTGTGCGTATTCTATTCCCTTCAGGGGAATGCTCTTTCCTCAGGTGTCTGCATGGTCTAATTCTTAATATCCTTCAGGTCTTGAATTAAATAGTAATTCCCTCAAAAGTCCTTCTCTAATTATTGTACTTTAAATTGCAACTCAGGAAAAAAAAAAACACCTTATTCATTTCCTCTTTGTTTTAATCAAACATACTATGTTGTGTAAAATATATGCTTCAAGAAGGCAGGATTTTTGTTTCATTTACTGCTGTACTCCTTATACCTGGAACAGTGTTCAGTACATAGTCGAATTGTTAGGGATGTTTACTGCTTCCCCACTGCTGAAGTATAACACCAGAGAAGCACACCAAGGCAAGTTTAGAGTGGAAAGTAGAAGCTTTATTAAGGACAGCAGAAAAGGGGACTGGGGATGTGGCTCAAGCGGTAGCGCGCTCGCCTGGCATGCGGGCCGCCCAGGTTCGATCCTCAGCACCACATACCAACAAAGATGTTGTGTCCGCCAACTAAAAAATAAATATTAAAAAAAATTCTCTCTCTCCTCTCTCACTCTCTCTTTAAAAAAAAAAAAAAAAAAAAAGGACAGCAGAAAAGACTATTCCCCTGTGGAAGGGGGGACCCAAGAGGTGGAACCCATGGAAGGCAAGGTCTTTCCCTTTTTATAGCTAAGGTCGTCTTTCAGCTTTCCTGAATTTCTGTCCTTTGTTATCTTGAAGTGATAGAATGTAGGTGGGAAGACCCTAAAGGTGAGGGGCAGACAGGGCTGGTGGAGTAATCTGGGCAGGAAAGGCCTGGGCCTTATTTGATTAGCACCTCCCTGTTTGCTGGGGAGCTGCTTCATTAACATTTCTTTAGAATGGGCTCTGGGCCTTGGGAATATTAACCTTTCAATTCCCCAAGTGCTGCACTGCTTTCCTGGGCTCCATTCTCAACCTGGCCTTCATTTTCAATTGATTTTACTCAATATCAGACCCAGACCCAATTTACCTAACTGCACTAACTACCTATCTTTAAATCTGGCTTCATTATGAATGCTAGATTCATTACCCATAAAGTAATTCATGCTTATTGATAAGGAAAAATCCATGGGGGTAGGGGATAGCCTGTCTGTTTGAGCCCAGAAGAAGCCTGAGGGTCATAGGAGAATGAGGGGCTATCATAGCTGAATCTGAGGGCTAGGGATGTGGCTCAGTGGTACAGCACTTGCCTATTATGTACAGGGTCCTGAATTCCATCACCAGCATCAAACCAATAGCAGCAACTGTGTCTGAAGGTAAGGAAATTGRGAGAAGATGCTTTCAAGGCAACACCTCCTAGTTTTTTTCTTTATATCACTCTTCTTTGGTCTTARATGGCCTGCCATTTCTTCATTGTCCATTCTGCCAGTCTGCTGGGCTCCTGGCTGGAAGAAACAACTGCCCCTGGTGTGATATTGTGGAATGTGGGAATGTGTGTGTGTGTGTGTATGTGTATGTCATTGTCCAGCATCCTGGCATACAACTCCTAAAATCCTGAAGTGATGTGCATGCTATTGAATTGGCTACTAGCTGGTGACCTCTAGTAGCTTCAGAATGGGGCCTGGTCATTAGAAAGACTTAGGCAGCATTAGAGGATTGAGATATTCAACCCAATCTCTGAGGAGGGAAGTGGAGCTGAAGGTTAAGCTGATCATCAATAGACAGTGATTTAACCAATTATGTCTACGATGGAGCCTCCATAAAACCCCAGGAGAACAGGGTTTGGAGAGCTTCTGGATTGCTGAGCATGTGGAATAGGTTCTTGGAGGGTGGCAGAGCCAGAGAAGACATGGACACTAAGCCTCTTCTCCCATGTTACCGGGTATCGAACACAGGGGGACTTGGGCATTGAGTCACATCCCCAGCCCTATTTTGTATTTTATMTATTTATTTAAATTACTGATGGATCTTTATTTATATGTGGTGCTGAGAATCAAACCCAGTGCCTCACACATACTAGGCAAGCACTCTACCACAGAGCCACAACCCCAGCCTCTATTTTGTATTTTATTTAGAGATAGGATCTCACTGAGTTGCTTAGTGCCTTGCTAAGTTGCTGAGGCTGGCTTTGAACTCTTGATCCTCTTGCCTCAACCTCCCAAGCCACTGGGATTACAGGTGTGCACCACTGTGCCTGGCTCTATATAGCTCTTCATCTGGCTGCTTGTTTATGTTTTTTATAATAAACCGTAAATGTAAATAGTGTTTCCCTGAATTTTGTGAGCTTCTGAAACAAACTGAGCTCAAGGAGGAGTTTGTGGGAATCCTCATTTAAAGTCAGTAGGTCAGGGCTGGGGATGTGGCTCAAGCAGTAGTGTGCTCGCCTGGCATGCGTGCGGCCTGGGTTCGATCCCCAGCACCACATACAAACAAAGATGTTGTGTCAGCCGATAACTAAAAAATAAATATTAAAATTCTCTCTCTCTTAAAAAAAAGTAAAGTCAGTAGGTCAGATGTACAGATAAACCAACTTGAGGTTTACATTAGAATCAGAAGTGGGTTCAGTCTATGGGATTGAGCCGTCAATCCGTGGAATCTGACACCATCTGCAGGTAGAAAGTGTTGGAATTAAATTAGAGGACACCCAGTGCTGTCTGCTATAGAATGAATTGCTTGGCTCAACCCACACACATCTGGTATTAGAGGTTGAGTTTGTTTTCTATATACTGGCCTATTGTGATGATGGCTCTTATGATGTAGAGACTTTTGGTCTCCTAGGAATCCATGAGGGGCTACCATGGCTTGCCCAGTATCCTGGCCAGGGTTAATACCATACTTACAGTGGGCTTGGCCCTGTGCCCCACCCCCAGAGTCATGCCAGGGTGGGCAGCAGGGCAGTCCCTGGGATGGATGACCTGGATCCCTTAGCCATCTTTGTTCTGTTTGATGAATGGGGCCTTCAAACAGAGAGCCACCAAGATGATCAGGCGGGTGTGTGCTTGGGGTAGATCTTTGAAGCCGTTGATCTGGGACTTAACTGCCATTCACTCGAAGGCAGGGGAAATGGGCAGTTCACATGGTTTTCCCAGTGTTCCTACCAGGGCAGTTTGGCAGAGGAAGACTTGCAGCAGGATAGTTCTTCAGAGGCTAAACATGATCTTTTTGCTTTCTTGGTACTTCCTCCACCTTTCTAGAATGATTCGTTTTCTAATGCTATTTTCATTTCTCCCAGTGGTTTAGCTCTTGGGTTCTCTGTGGCAGGGGGCAAAGGGGTCCAATTCCCGAGATGACTGATGTTCTACCCTGAGAGCCTCCTCTGCAACCAGTGGTCCCAGGAGACTCCTTTATTTTTTCAGTACCAGAGAATGAAGCCACAGGTGCTTGACCACTGAGCTGCCTCTCCAACCCTTTTTTTTTTTTTTTTAAATATATATATTTTATTTAGAAACAGGGTCTCACTGAGTTGCTTAGGGCCTCTCGAGTTGCTGAGGCTGGCTTTGAACTGAGGCTTTGCCTCAGTCTCCCAAGGTGCTGGAATTACAGATGTATGCCACTGCCTGGCTGAGACTCATTTCTTTTTGGGGGTCGWTGGGTACTGAGGATTGAACTCAGGGGCACTCGACCACTGAGCCACATTCCCAGCCTTAGAGACAGGGTCTCAGTTGCTTCGTGCCTCATTTTTGCTGAGATTGGCTTTGAACTTGTGATCCTCCTGTCTCAGCTTTCTGAGCTGCTGAGATTACAGGCATGAGCCACCATGCCCAGCTTGAGACTCCTTTCTTAATAAAACTTCTCCTCAGTTTGCAGATCTCCAGGGGAGCCCACCATCGTGGCCAGCATGGCCTCCGAAGACATTGCCAAGCTGGCAGAGACCCTGGCCAAAACCCAGGTGGCTGGGGGACAGCTGAGTTTCAAGGGCAAGAGTCTCAAACTGAACACAGCGGAAGATGGTGAGTGCAATGTACACTTACTAATTGTCAGGCTTTGAGCTATATATCCTCAGTATTTGTCTTGGCAGCTCTATGAGTGACTATCATTGGACCTATTTTAACAATGAGACTCAAAGATCAATTGTCCAGGAGTGGAGGTGTAGCTTACTGGTAGATGACTTGACTAATATGCGTAATACCTGGTTCAATACCCAGCGCTACCAAAAAAAAAWTTTTTTTCTTGTGAGTTCACATAAACATCCCTGCTGGTCTGTATGTTCACAATCTCAGGAGGGAATGGTAATGAGGGGAACAGTAAGTCCTAAGATACAGCTTCTGATTTCTGACTTTAGCTCTGGTACTCTTCCGACCCCTACCTTCATTCACTCCCATATTCATGAAATATCTGCTGCCTTCCTCAGCTGAGGCCCTGGTGGGTTGCATTAAAAAACAGTCTCCCTGGGGCAGTGGTGCAGGCCTGTAATCCCAGGGACTTGGAGGCTGAGATAGGATGATTGAGGTCAGTCTGGGCAACTTAGCAGGACTGTCTCAAAATAAATGTAAAGGACTGGGAGTGTAGCTTAGCATTAGAAAAGTTGTCTCGTGTGTGAGGCCCCAGGTTCAATTTTTAGTATCAAAATATATATATATATATATATTTCAGGGGTTGTGGCTCAATGGCAGAGTGCTTACCTGTACAAGTGAGGCACTGGATTTGATCCTCAGTACCATGTAAAAATATATAAATAAATAAAAGATATTGTGTCCATCTATAACTAAAAAAAATTTTTTTTAAATAAATAAACAGGTAGTGTTATCCTATTTTGTGGAAATGGAAGCACTGAGAGTTGACGTGTTGTAAGTCCTTAGCTAGTAAGCACCAGAGATGGTATTTAATGCAGAATCCCAAACTCTACCTTTCTTCACGTGTATCCCATTCACATCTCATAGCCTGTAAGCCAAAACTTTTCTTATTTCATAGATAAGAAAATAGAGGCCCATAAAGATTGAATGACTTGCCTAAAGACCTGTAGCTAGTTAGGATCAGAGCTGAATTTAAAGCTGTGCTGTAACTTAGTGAGATCCTGTCTCAAAAATAAAATATAAAAAAAACTAACTGAGGGGCTGGGGTTGTAGCTCAGCAGTAGAGTACTCATCTAGCACGTGCGAGGCCCTGGATTCAATCCTCAGCACCACATTAAAAAAATAATAAGGGCTGGGATTGTGGCTGTGGTAGAGCGCTCACCTAGCACGGGCGAGACCCAGGTTTGATCCTCAGCACCACATAAAAATAAAAGGCATTGTGTTGTGTCCATCTACACCTAAAAATAAATAAATAAATAAATATTAAAAAGAATAATAAYAAATAAAATAACTATAACTAAAAAATAAATATTAAAAAAAATAAAAAGTAGCTGTGGATGTGGCTCAGTGGTTAAGTACCCTGGGTTCAATCTCCAGTACCAAAAACAAATACATACATAAATATATACATAGATACATTTTACTTTGAGACAAGATCTCAGGTACTTAGGGCCTCGCTAAATTGTTGAGGCTGGCTTTGAACTCTTATATTTTGAGGGGGAGGATACTGGGATTGAACTCAGGGGCACTCAGGGGCACTCGACCACTAAGCCACATTCCTGGCCCTATTTTGTATTTTATTTATAGAGACAGGGTCTCACTGTTAAGCATATTGATTTTGTTGAGGTTGGCTTTGAACCCATGATCTTCCTGCCTCAGTCTCCCGAGGAGYTGGGTTTAGCACCACCACACCTGTCTTGTTGTTTTTGGTACCAGGGATTGAATCCAGGGGAGCATAGCCACTGAGCCATATCCCTAGCCCTCTTTATATTTTTTATTTAGAGACATCATCTTGTTAAGTTGCTTATGGCCTTGTGGAGTGGTTGATTTGAGGCTGGCTTTGAACTCATGATCCTCCTGCCTCTACCGGGATTACAGGCATACACCACCATGCCTAGTTCCCAGTCCTTTTACTTTTTTTTTTTTTTTTTTCTTGATGGTATTGGGGATTGAACCCAGGGGTGTTGACCCACTGAGGCATATCCCCAGCCCTTTTTAATATTTCATTTAGAGACAGTGTCTTGCTGAGTTGCTTAGAGTCTCACTCAATTGCTGAGGCTGGCTTTGAACTGCTCTTCCTGCCTCAGCCTTCAGAGCTGCTGGGATTATAGGTGTGCACCACTGTGCCTGGCTACTTTTTTTGTACTGGTATTGAGCCCAAGGTCATTTACCACTAAGCTACATCTCCAATTCTCCAGCCTTTTTTATTTTTTTAAATTTTTAAAATGCCAGGCAAGTGTGTGACCTCTGAACCCCAGTCCCTTATTTTTTATGTTGAGACAGAGTGTTGCATAGGGCCTCAGTAAATTGCTGAGGCTGTCCTTGAACCTAAGATCCTTATTTCTCAGCCACCTGAGTTGCTGAAATTACAGGTGTATGCCACCATGCCCTGTTTGCATCTCACAGTATTTTTGAGGCCTCCTGGGGTTCAGGCTTAGCCAGAGAAACTGGTTTGGACTTGCCTGGTTGTCAAGGTGTGCAAGCAGCCTTGCTCCCTCCCTTGGGCCAGAGCTGTGTGAATCCTTGGGTTGCTAGGAACATTCCTTTCTCTCCATAGTGCTTCAAGATTCACAGGGCTTCTTCCTGTTCTTTCATCTGTTTGAGATCCTTGTATAATCCTTGTGGGAAAGAGGTGACAATGTTGATATTTTATAAATGAGGAAAAAAGAGAGGAGATTTAAGTAACTTGTTTAAGGTCATTTATCTGGTAAATAGCAGAGACAGAATTATTATTTTGTGTGTTTGTGTGTGTGGGGTGCTGGGGATTGAACCCAGGGTCTTGTGCATACGAGGCAGGCACTCTACCAACTGAGCTATATTCCCAACCCCCAGAGCCAGAATTTTAACAGAGGTCTCACTGAGTCCTTGCTCTTATGCTTCTGAGTAGATATTCAGTAAACATGGATTTGCTATTAAATGTCATTTATTGAACAGGGTTAGAGTATTAAATTTCATACAAATTGTATCTCAGCTTATCTTTACAAAATTCCTTGAGAGGGCCGAAGATGTGGTTTGATGGTAGAGTGGTTCCCTAGCATGTGCAAATCCCTGAGTTTGATCCCCAACTCTCCCAAAAAAATCCTTTGAGATAGGCTTTATCTCCATTTTGGGAAAACTGAGGCTCAAGGAGGTAATACAATTTGCCTAAGAGCAAACTATAAGTAGTGGAGCTGAGAATTCAGCTTTGGCTGATAATCTGCATAGATGATTTTTCCACTTTACCACCAGTCTGTACATGGTGTCTCCTATCTTGTGGTCACTGGGCACCCAGCTTACAGTCCCAGCCTGTAAGGGACTCCTAACCTGGAGTAGGAATGTGGTGCTCAGACAGCAGTTTGTTCATGTTCTGAGAGATRTGAACAAAGGGCCTTAGGAAGGTAAGGCAGGGAGAGGGTCACTTTTAGCTTATTCATGGATAATGTGGCATTTGAATTGTTCTTGAAAGATGATTTGAAGGAGATGATTTGCTGGCAATGAGAACACATGAGTTAGGCTCAAGAGCTGAGACCTAGAGGGTGGGTGGGCTGGGGAGAAAGGAAATTCAAAGCCCATAGGGAGGCAGGCAGAGGCCTTTCCTTGTATGTTGTGCTGAGGAACCTGGAGGCTTCAGTGTGAGCCCAGAGGGGACTCTGTATTGGCTGGAAGTGAACCAGAATGGGAGGAGGCCATGGTGCTAGTGAACAAGGCCCTTTTCTCTCCCCAGGAAATCATTTAAGAACCAAAGAAAGTACTTTGTGCTCTATGAGGCAGAGTAACCAGCATACCATTACTCTGAATAGTAGAGGTTGGAAAGAGAAGTCTTATGAGAAGGTCTCCTGATGATTGGTTATTCAGGGATGAGTTGGGTCCATCCCTAATCTGTTATGTGAGGAATGGTGGTTTTCAATTTCTTGTAACCCTGCTTGGGTTGAAAACCAGGAGAGAGGCAAGTGCACCTGTGACCCCACACCTCTTGACCCTGCCCTCCCATTCTGGTGCGTTTCCTTCCAAGTTTGGTCTGTGCTCCTGCCTCTCCTCAGGGCTGAACTTGTGGACAGCACAGTACCCCTGACAATACACTGACATCATGCATACAGTGTGAGTTAGCTCTTTCCTTGGGACCCTAGCATCTCCATCCCCATGTAAGCGTTACCTTGAGCAGCCATCCCATCTCACTGACCTGGCTAGTCCTCAGATATCAGTTGGGGCTCCCTTTTGGAGTGGTCTCCCTGTTTGACCTGGTATGCTTCCCATAACTCTCACTTGTCAGAGTTGTCCTTGTTACAAGCTGCTAGTTGATCTTTTTCCTTGACTTCTAAGCCTTTTGTACATGCCTTGTTTTAGCAGTCATTGCAGGAGAATTATTTGAATAGCTGTGCCCCCTGCTAGGCTTTGAGTCTGTCTGATTCTCCTCTATACATCAGGGCCTGGCGCATGGAGTATGGGCACCATAACCCTTGGAGTATATGAGTGATAGGTGGTTACCAAACTCTCTCCTACCCCAACTGTTTGTGACTCCAAAAACCTAAAGTACTGTTCTTTGGTCCTGAGCAGCTAAAGATGTGATTAAAGAAATTGAAGACTTTGATGGCTTGGAGGCTCTGCGCTTGGAGGGCAACACGGTGGGTGTAGAAGCGGCCAAGGTCATTGCCAAGGCCTTAGAGAAGAAGTCGGAGTTGAAGGTGAGATTTGCAGAGCAAGCAGGCCTGGGCTGGTTGAAAACAGCCTTCTGCTCACACTGCCACAAAACTCCCAGGCCCCTGCCTTGGTGACTGTCACCCACACAGTTCCTCTTCCTCTGGCCATCCCAGATCACATAGCACTGACTGTGGTCCCTCTTTTTTGCAGTGAGCATTAGGGTATGCTTCTCGGGTGGCATTAGGAGTGCAGGAAGATTATTGGGGTGACACCTGTGAAAGAAAAACTGGAGAGAACCTTCAGTTTGCAATGCAGATCTGACACCCTTGAGGAGGAAGGATGTAGAGTTAACTAGCAAGTACTTCTTTCTGTGAGATTGTTCTGAAAAACCCACCAGCTGGGAGCTCCAGAGCAAGGATTGTCCATTTAAAACAGTCTTGTGATAGGAGAAATGGCCAGGCCTCAGAGGTCCTGTTCTTGTAGTCATTTGGGTATGTGCTGAAGCCAGAGGCCACAGGTCACTACTCCCTACTGCTGAGTCACATTCTTTTTTGCAGGTTAAATCTAGGTGGTTCCCCTTCTTGGCCAACACAAAGGGCAATTCAGTCTTCTAGCCCAGGGTTCCCAAAATGGGTTCCACTGAATACCAGTCTGTCAATATGCTCTTTGAGAAAAGTAGAGGTATCAATTCAGAATTTCAGGGGTGGTGGGTCAGGTGTGGTGGTGTACACCTTTAATCCCAGCTACTTGGGAGGCTGACACAGGAAGATCACAGATTGGAGACCAGCCTCTACTACTTAGTGATATTGTGTCTCAAAGGGGGGTGGGGATGTAACTCTGTGTTAGAGTGCTCCTGGGCTCAGTCTCTGGTACTGAAGGGGAAAAAAGTTGTATGCCACTATGTCCAGCCTTGTGTATACCYGTTTTATAAGCCAGGGGAACTGAGGCTCAGGGGTGCTGATTCAGTGCAGGACTGTGATGCCAGGACATTGCAGTGTCTGCAAGTTTGTTTACAACAGAGCTCTTAAAGGGTATTTCCTTAGGAAGGTCATAGTCAACAAAGCCAGGGCCATTTTGCTTTTCTGCCTTCAGCCTAAACAAAAGAAGTCAGCCTGCCCCATGACCTCTGAAGAACAGGAATAGAGGACTTGTGGACCTGGAGGCTGCAGGCCACAATAAGAGCTGAACTTTGGCATCCATGGGCCTTGGTTCAGTCCTCAGCACCATCACTTGTCCACTTTGCACTGAATTTGGCTATTCCTCCTTCTTGAGGTCGTTCTGAGAGCCTGGCTAACAGGAATGCTACTTGCATTTTCTTAGCTGGTGCAAACCCAGCTGGTCTCCAACTTGCCTCTCTAGTGGAAGAAGCCCTAAGGCAGGGGCAGGGTGGAGCTGCCCTTGATGGCTTTCAGAGACTGGTGGTGATGCAAGATACAATGTTATCTGCCCTATGAGGTCTTGACAATTGACAAGAGTGCACCCCAGGTCACTGGCTGAGATCAAGTTCATGTGAGTTCAAGCTCTAATGCTCTACTGTTCCCTTGAAGATGATCAAGGTGTAAAGCCTTTCTCAGAGAGGATTTCAGGGTGTGGGGGGTGTGGGGCAGGGAGTGTCTTCGAGTCAGCTGAGTGGTGATTGGAACCCTGTTCTGTGCCCTGGAGTTCCATGCCAATCCTTTATCTCATCAGAGGGGTTTAGGAAGCTTCAGGGTGAGATACCATTGTCCGGACTTTGGATTTCTGGCTGTAGCTCCAGGTTCCTGGTCCTAAGGATCCCATGTATGGGTGTAACTTAGCAGACCTCATGTAGAGTATATAGCTGAGGTCTGTCCCTGGTTTGTGAATGATTGACTTTATTTGAAGATATGAAGAATTTTTCTGTAAAAGCTAAATTCCTGGTTGGGTGTGGGTAATCTCAGCTACCCAGGAGGCAGAAGCAGGAGGATCCCAAGTTCAAGGGCAGCCTGGGCAACTTGGTCAGATCTTAAAATTAAAAATGAAATGATATGACATGATGTAAATGGAATAACTGGGGGCATAGCTTAGTGGTAGAGCACTTCCTAGCAGGCACTGGTTCAGTCCCCTGCACTGCCAAACAAAAGTAAAGAACTTCCCTAGTATGTAAGGCTGGTCTTGGTTCATATAAGATCTGGATGTTCAGGTGCAAGTGGCTTTGCCAGTGTTACATCAGACCCAGTTTTGGCCTGGAAAAGATAGGGGTTGCCAGGGTTTATTTGGGGAGTGGACACAKCAACCAGAATTGGGGAGTAGGATTGTCAAAACCAAGCTATGTGGCCTATATCTTTCTAACATTTATTTGATAATTTCTTACTAAATTTGCTAACTTATAATTTCAAACCAAATATCACTACTCTAAATGGAAAACCAGCGTGCCTTATGATAAAGGAAGTAAAATATTGTAGTGAATTCCAATTTGACACYGTTGTCACCTAAAGGCTCTGAGCCTGAGCCCTGCCTTTGTTAGGCAAGAAATGGAAGGTAAGTGAGTCTAGCCAGTCCCAAATGAAAGGTGGTCCTCTGGAGGTGATCAGCAGGGTTTAAAAGACACTTTAAAAAGGACTTTCTTGGTGCTGAGTCCTATATCATTTTATCTTCCTCACTCAGGATCATGTCAGGTGTCCAGCCAGAGGGTTGGACAGATTTTCGATTTTCTTGACACTTCTCAAGGCACAGGTGTGACTTGAGAACAGGCCTCCAATTCGACCAGCTCCAACTCAAACTGGTTCAGCTTTTGCTGACAGAACCCAARTTAAGACATCTTGTAGTGCTCAGGTGTCCCGAGGGCACAGGGTGAAGTGCTGCTGTGGGCTTTACTTCAGGCGGCCTGAGGGCTCCAGCTAACTCTTCCCTTCTTTCTCCTGCACAGCGATGCCACTGGAGCGACATGTTCACCGGGAGGCTGAGGTCCGAGATCCCTCCAGCCCTGGTAAGGAATGAGCTGCCACTCTCCCCAGGCCATTCCCAACCTTTTTCTCATACCTGTTCTTTCTGGAGACTTAGTTGTATGTGTCTCCACATATAGCTAAGCCAAAGAAATGGAAGCCAGCCCAGTGTCTGCCCTATGTCCTGACCAGAAGTGCAGTGATGAGGACAGGCGGTATAGGGGATGGAGCCAAAGGATGGGGGTTCATATTGGAGGAAGTGGAACTGAGAACAGGTGTCTTGGGGTTTCTCCCCTCACTGTGGTCTTATCTCCTCCCTGACATCCTTTCCTGGCACCACCTCCCTGCACCCTGGGTCCCGCTCCCTCATGACCTCAGTCCGCACACAGTCTACTGTGGTTGATCCATTGTTCTCTGGCCCCTCCCTTTCTCATTCCACTGCTTTTGGTTTTTTGTCATGGATGGCTTCCCTCTGCTTCCTGTTCCTGGGGCTCAAAATTACTAGGGTCACATTCCCAGATTGAGTGTGCACATGTGTATGTTGAAGGGGCATCACACACAACAGAAGGCTTGCCTGGGCACCTGGGAGGAGGCCTGTCCTCGTGGCACAGAGCTGGTCTATAGCAGCAGGCCTTCGAGGCACAGGTGTRGGGCTGTGGTTGGCATGTGCACCCTGCTCCTTCTTGGGTCTTCATGCCTCTGGCCACTGGTGTTCCTTACCAGGGCTGGAGGGATCTGGACAGAGGAATGAAGACCCAAGGAGGAGYAGGGCGCACATGCCAACCACAGCACCACCCTTCCTTCCACAGGGCTTCAATCTAGCAGACAACTGGGGTCATCCAGGGTGACAGGTGGTCTAATGGTCTTAGAGACGGGCCCTGGGGTTGGGGGGAGGCATCCATGAGGCCCTTAGAGAGTTGGTGGAGTTTGTGCCCAGTCTTGAAGGATGAACAAGACCAGGTGAGGCCAAGTTTCAGAATAAGGTTAAATGAACTCGTGGGTGGTTGATTTTAGGGTAAAGCAAACTTCCCTGTGGCATCCTTGCTCCTGGATTCTCACTGTGCCATTCTTGGTTTTCTGTAATTTTAGCATTAATTTACTTTAGCATGAGGAGATAATTTTATTTCCACATTCCCTATTACGGCAACGAATCTTTTTTTTTTTAAATATTTTTTTTAGTTGTCAATGGACCTTTATTTATATGTAGTGCCTCACACATGCTAGGGCAGGCGCTCTACCACTGAGCTACAGCCCTAGCCCGTGGCAACAAATCTTTAGCTGAGGCTTAAGAGAACTTGGGGCAGGGAATGGCAGATGCAGTGAGGAGGAATGGATGCAGAGTAAGCAGTTGTGGCCGCCTGAGGGCTGGAGGTTAGCTGGGGCTCATAACCTGGGACCAGGCCTGCTGAGGGCAGGATGGCCAGAAAACATCCTGCTTTGTTGAGTGGTAGCAGGACAGAAGAAATGCCTGTGCTTGTGGCTTGGGTGAAGACAGACTGTCCCCTCTCACATTCCTGCCACCGTGAGCCATCTGCCCAGTCCCATTTCTGTCCACTGTCTCTGGCAGTCTCCCCTCTGACCATTTCTCCTGGGGTTGGCGAGGCTGTAGTTACCCCAGCCTGGAAGGTTCTCAGGAGAACTTGGCATCTTCCTGCCAAGTCTGCTCATGTCACCTCCATGTGCCCAGATGCTCCCAGAAATCCCAGAGGAATTTGTGGGACCTGTCTCCCTCCTCCTGCACATCTGGGAAACCCCCAGCTTCAGTAGGTTCTCCTCCCTCTGGGTATAGACCTGGCTTTCCCTCTCTGCTTCCTGCCACACTGGCTGCCACGAATGTTACCTGCATCTCTGCTTCACACTCCGAGGGGGCACACAGCCTGCAGCCACCCCCTGCCTGTCTCCCTAGGTTTGGGTGATRTGTTTTCTCTGTCCGGCAGCCTCTTCTCAGGCTTAGTGTCACAGGCTTCAAGGTTTTTACCTTCTTGACCCTGTGCTTGCCTCCAGGCCCACAGCCTACTGCTCTGTTCTCTTGTGTCTCTGCTCCTATTTTGACTGCTGCCTGGAATCCTCTTAGGTTGATTGGTTAACTTCCATCCAGACTTGAGGTCAGATGCCACCTCCTACAGGGAGCCTTCCCAGACTTACACACACACACACATGCCCCATTCATTGGTTTTCAGGAGCCCTCGACAGGGTGTCCAGTGTGGGATCATACCAAGGAAAACTGTGTACCTAGTAGGTGTCTGAGAGACTGACCTAAGTTTCCTCTGTGTCCAGATCTCACTAGGGGAGGGACTCATCACTGCTGGGGCCCAGCTGGTAGAGCTAGATCTAAGTGACAATGCATTCGGGCCCGATGGTGTGCGTGGCTTCGAGGCCCTGCTCAAGAGCCCAGCCTGCTTCACCCTGCATGAACTCAAGCTCAACAACTGTGGCATGGGCATCGGTGGTGGCAAGGTAAGTATGGCAGCCCTGTGTACTCCCTCCTGTGTCCACATCTAAGCATGTGCCCTAGCCGTGGCCACCTTCTGTGATGGTCACCCTTCACTTTTCTCATCAAAGGAGGAAATTCTCAAAGGCAGCAGCCTGCAGCTAGTGGGGAAAAGTCTGGGAGGATAAGGTTGCCAAGCAACCATCCTAAGTTCCCATGTTGGCTTGGCAACGTGGAGGTGGTATTGGAGGTGGTATTGCTGCATAACCTGCTTTGAACTGCTGGCTCTGCAGGCTCTGCAAAGTGCAGGGTTGGGGCATCCCTGCAACTCCCATCACTCAGAACAGCCAGCAGATCCACGGAGAGGAAGGAGCCCAGAAAGAGAAATGTGCTGCTCTGGGAGCACAGTCATCTCTATTCTTGGACACAATCTTGCTGTACTTGGCAAGCCAGCAAGTCAGGCTGGTTGATGTAGAAAGCAGCTCCTTTGCTTCCCAGAATATGCACCAAGGAGGCCAGCCCTCCTTATTCCCTTCTTGGTCCTTTTGGGCTCCTTTAGACTGAGAGTTGAGACAGAGACCAGTCCTTACCCCCCACTTAGGCACATCCTGATCAAAGGGAGAAAGGGGCTCCGGCATAGGAAACTAACAGGCATTGGAGACATCTTCGTGAAATTGTGTACATGGATTACAGTGAAAGGTATATTGTGCTTTCCCTATTTTCCCACAAGAGTAAGTAGACTTGTACTTGAAGGAGTGGAGCACGTGGCTGGTGTGGGAGGGATGTGGAATTTGAACCTTTGTTCACAAGGCTCCTTTCAGAGCACTAAAGGGAACCTGGGCTCACAGCGTCCTAGGCTGAGGAAGAAGAGTGGCTGTCCCCACAGAGGGTGCTCTCTGCCCCATAGGAGGGAAGGGGGGAACATACTCTGGGCACTCCCCCAAATCAGGATGCACTTCCCCAAATCTAACTGGACAATTGGCTGTTCATGTTTTGTGTTTTTTTTTTTTTTAATCTTTATTTTGTTTGTTTATTTTTATGCGGTGCTGAGGATTGAACCCAGTGCCTCACATGTGCAAGGCGGGCACTCTGCCACTGAACTCCAGCCCCAGCCCCCTGTTCATGGGTTTTTTTGTTTGTTTTTTTGTTTTTTCAGTATTTTTAAAAATATTTTTTAGTTGTTGATGGACCTTTATTTTTCTTTCTTTMTTTATTTATTTGTATGTGGTGCTGAGAATCAAACCCAGTGTGTCACACATGCTAGGCAAGCGCATTACCACTGAGCCCCAGCCCCAGCCCCTGTTCGTGTTTTTAAGACACCATTACAATGTGCATCCACACAGAACACAAGTAGAGCCCAACCTGGAGGGAGTGGGGTGTGGAGAGCCAGCAACACTAGTGTTCTTGCACCTTACCCTGTCACGTAGCAGTGCCAGGAGATGGGTCCATAAGCCCCTCCAGCTGGCCAGTGGTTGTGTGGCCTTCCCATACTTGAGTGGGTGGGGTGGGATGATGTGGGGAAGCAGAGTTTCCCAGGGCCAGGAAGCCACCTTGACCGACCAACTCAGCTCTGGAACTTGACTGTGCAGTAGTCTTCCCTTATTCACAGGAAATACATTCCAAGATACCCAGTGGGTACCTGAAGTCATGGGTGGTTCTTAATCCTATAGATACTGAGGCCCTATACATAAATTTATAAATTAGGCACAGTAAAAGGTTAAAAATAGAATTATGATATACTCTGATAAATGTTATATGGATGTGGTGGTGCACACTTAACAATGACTTGAAAGGCTGAGACAGGAGGATCACAAGTTCAAGGCTTGCCTAGCAAGACACTCTGCTAAATAAGTAAATAAGAGCTGGGGTGTAGCTCTGTGGTAAAGTACCCCAGACTTCAATCCCAGTAAAAAGTAAAAATAAAAATTATGTGAAGGGCTGGAAGTATGACTTAATGGTAGAGCATTTGCCTAATGTTTGTGAGGTTAGGGTAAGGTCCAGTCCCAGCACTGAAAGTGGGAGAAAAAAGTGAGTATCAGTTCTCACAAAATATGTACCATAGGTCTTAGCAACCTTAATTTAAGATTTGTTTTCTATCCTTAAGAGCTCTTACTTAGCTGGGTGTGGTGGCACGCGCCTGTAATCCCAGCAGCCAGGAGGCTGGGACAGAAGGATTGTGAATTCAAAGCCTGCCTCAGTAATTTAGCAAGGCCCTAAGCATCTTAGTGAGACCCTGTTTCTATATGAAAAAGGGCTGGGGATGTGGCTCAGTGGCTAAGTGCCCCTGGGTTTAACTAACCCTAGTACCAAAAAAAACCACTCATGAAGGAAGCAGCTTATAGCTTCTCTTTGGCATATCCAAATTGCCATTGCTTCTCTTGTATTTGTGAGCCAAAATTTAAGTAAARTAAAGGTTATTTGAACACATACATTGTGATATAGTCACAGCTGATAACCAGGTGATTACCAAATATTAGGTAGTTCATGGGCAGGGGCACTTGCTTTGTGGACTCTGGACAAAGGGATGAGTCATTTCCCAGACACAAGTGAGGTTTCATCACACTATTCAGAATATATGTAATTTAAAACTTGTGAGTCGTTTATTTCTAGGKTTTTTTTTTTTTTTTTTTTTTTTTAATTCTGGGTACCATGGATTGAACCCATAGGGGCTTAACTGTTGAGCCACATCTCCAGCCCTTATTATTATTTTTTAAATATTTATTTTTTTAAGTTGGAGTTGGACACAATACCTTTATTTTACTTAATTATTTTTTATGTGGTGCTGAGGATCAAACCAGGGCCTTGCCCATGCTAGGCAAGCGCTCTATTGCTGAGCCACAACCCCAGCCCCTCCAGCCCTTATTTTTTAATTTTTAATTTTGTGACAGGATCTCATCAAGTTGCTTAGGATCTCGCTGCATTGCTGAGCACATTGAGCTTGTGCTTCTTCTGCCTCCGCCTTCCAAGGTGCTGAGATTATAGGTGGGAGCCATTGCACCTGGCTTAGAATATATTTTGGACTGCAGTTGACTGTGGATAACTGAGACTATGAACAAGGGGGACTCTGTAGCTCTCTGCTCCCTCCCTCACCACTGATTTAATAAGGCTCTGAGTCCCGGCCTTGCCATTCTGCACCTCCTGCGAGCTGCAGCCCTTCAGTCGTTCCTTCCAGGTGGTAGGTATCAAGTGTGGCCCAGGTGCCAGTCACAGATATACTGGCCTTAGCCAGGTCGTTTTCCCATCTGAGTCTTAGCTTCCTCATTTGTCAAGTGAGGCTCTTGCTACTTGCCTCCAGGCAGTTGTGAGGTTTGAAGAAGTGACTGCAAAAGTTCCTGGCAGGGCTCAGGACCTGGCAGGTGCTCTGTGGTATTCTCTGCTGTCTGCAGCACTTGTGGATCTTGCTACATTAACAGTGGGCTCTGAATCCCAGTGACCAATCAGCATCTTTAAACGCTTTGCCTATTAGAGTAACCAGGTTAGAAGCTACCTTCTGGTTGCACATCAAAGACAGGGTAGGCTGGGTTTTTAGGTTTGTGCCCCCAGCAGATGATAAAGACTGCTGTGTCCACTTGGCCTTGGCACAGGCTTCTGTCAGTTGGAGTGGTTGGATTAGGGCAGCTCCCTCAGGCACCTTGTAGTCTAGAAGAGAAACTGCAAGGTTTGGGTTCTTRTCTACAGTCTGCCACACACATAGTTATCATAAGAAAGTTTTTGASCTGGGTGGTAGCATATGCCTCTAGTCCTAGCTATTTGGGAGACAGAGGCAGGATCATCACTTGAGCTGAGTAGATCAAGGCCACTTTGTGCTAGTGGCAGACATCTGTAGTCCCAGCCACACAAGAGGCTGAGGCAGGAGTGCCACAGTCCGGCTGCAGCAAAATAGCTGGGGGGTGACGAACAACTTGTGTAGATTGATACAGCAGGAGAGTGAGCTGTTTATTGCAGGACAACAGAGGTATTTATACATTTCACACAGCTTATCTAATTAACATAAACTAGATATAGCAGTCAACCAATAACGAATCTCCACACTTAATGGCTCATTGGTGTTACTTCACAAACCACTCCCTCTGGCATTTTGCCAGGTGCCATCCAGACTTGTTTACAGACTCTAACATTTGCCAGGCACCATCCAGACTTGTTTACAGACTCTAACACAGGAGGATCACAAATTCGGCCAGCCTCAGCAACTTAGTGAGATCTTTTCTCAAAATAAAAACAAAAGGGGCCAAGGTGTGGCTCAGCGGTAGAGTGCTTACCTCGTATGTGTGTGGTGCTGGGTTCGATCCTCAGCACCACATAAAAATAAATAAATAAATAAAGTAAAGGTATTATGTTCATCTACAACTAAAATATATATATATAAAATAAAAAGGGGGCTTGGGTTGTGGCTCAGTGGTAGAGTGTTTGCCTTGCAGGTGTGAGGCCCTGGGTTCGATCCTCAGCATCATATAAAAATAAATAAATAAAAAGAAAAAGGACTGCCGATATAATCAGTGATAAAGCACTCCTGGGTACATATCGAAAGAAGAGGCCTCTGTCCCTCTCTGAGCCATTGATTCTTCAACTGGAAAGTGGGAGTCACGGTAGTGGCACCCAGCAGAGGGTTTGTCACAATTCAGTGAGCTAACTGGAATCCCTTACCCACATGCTCCATCCACTGTGATGGTCTTTCCCTTCCTTTAGCAAGTCCCAGTCTCTATGAAGCTAAATCCCATAGGTTGGTGTGACACAAAATAAGAAATATTAAAGCTCGTTGTAAACAGGTATGTGAGCTATGATCGTGAAGCGTTAGCTGTTCCGAGTCCCCTGATTCACTACTGGCAGGGGGTGGAACATTGAAAAGCAGTTCAGAGGAAGTTAGGAGAAGGGTCTCCTGCCATGGTCTGTATCCTTTCCCTTTCCAACAGATCCTGGCAGGGGCTCTGACTGAGTGTCACCGGAAATCCAGTGCCCAGGGCAAGCCACTGGCCCTGAAGGTCTTCGTGGCTGGCAGAAACCGTTTGGAGAATGATGGAGCCACTGCTTTGGCAGAAGCTTTTGGGGTGAGTCATTTCCATTCTGCCCCACCAGGCATGAAGGCGGACTAGGTAGGGGACTTACAGACCTGGTGTAAATCCCAGGGCTGGTCCTCAGCTTACCCTCCGGTGAGTTKCTTACCCTCTCTGAGCCGGTTAGCTTGTCCTGTGATGGACCAGAATTCCTGTAGTCTGTGTCCAGAAAGATTCCAGTGAGTTAGCAGCTGCTCCCTTGAGTGCTGTTTGAGAAGACTGTGAGCCTTTGGATAGGAAAAGTTGTTCTACCYGAGTGCTCCCTGCTAGCACAGCATCAGTGCCAGGGCAGATGAGTACATCAGACTTGTTCTGAGACAGGGAGATGGACAGCAACAGCCCAGGGGCTAGGTACCACATGCAGTACTATTGGGGAACCTTGTGCCCTGGGTTATCCTTGAAACCTTGTTGGTGAGCTGCATGAGGACTGTCCTGCCCTGCCTTGGGCATAAGTAGGATCTTTAGGCTCTATTCTTCTCTGTTCCTAATTTAAATGTTTTATAGGCCAATGGTATGCTAGCAGCATACCTCATTCTGTGCCTCAGAGTGACCTGTCTGCTGAGCTGCTCAAAGAATCTTTTAATAGCCTCAGTGAGAGTGGTCATTGCAGAGACCTGCTCTGTCTCACTGAATCCCTAGCTACATGGTCCTCATAGTGCAGAGGACACCACACTAAGAAATCTATACTCTGGTTCCAGGCTTCCCTCTTCAGAGCTATGTGATCCTGGTAGTTGCTTAGCTTCTCTGATCTCTAGTCTTTTCTATCTGGTAGGGATTCTAATCCCAGATGGATCCTCCTTGGGATTATAGAGAGGATCACATGCAGTMATGTCCAAAAATATGCTTTTGATATCTGTGCCCCCAAAACCTATAGACAAATCCCTGCTCAGTATTGGTGGCCCCTCCCTGTGTGCTGTGTGCTGCTTTTGTGTCTGCCAGATGTCACTGACGTGGGCCCACCTTTCCTCTCTTTCCTTTTGCCCTTGCAGATCATTGGAACTCTGGAGGAGGTGCACATGCCACAGAATGGGATCAACCACCCTGGTGTCACAGCCTTGGCCCAGGCCTTCTCCATCAACCCCTTGCTGCGGGTCATCAACCTCAATGACAACACCTTCACTGAGAAGGGTGCAGTGGCCATGGCTGAGGTGAGGTGGGCATGTTGGGGCAGATTGGGCTAGGTAGACAGGGTCCAGCTGCTACCTTTGCTTCACTGACAAGGACCTCCACCTCCCTRCTTCCACAGTGTGTGCCCCACATTCATGTGCACTTGTCCAAATAGGTCACACATCATGAAGGGACCTTGTCCTTCTTAGGCAGCTCTGAGTGTTCTTGTTGCCTGAATCTTGAACAGCCTCCATGCCACCCCCAGCAATTGGTGCTCTTTTTGTTCTCAGGCCACACAGGAGAGGGCTGCTCTGGTCCCATCTGTTTCCTCATTGATTCGTTTATCAGCTATTTATTGAGGCCCTCTTCAGTGTCCAGTTTGTACCAGATGCAAGCTATGCAGGATCCCACCTTCACAGAGACAAATTCAAAGAGAAAAGTCACTGATGAGGGCTTTGCAGAGCTCCAGGCACAATAGCTGCCTGGGTACCATAGCTTTGGGTTGGGCTACAGAGGCTGCTAGGCCTGTTGATGTGGGTGTAGCAGAGGCAAGCACAGGTGTCACTATGCAGGGTCAGACTTGGAGTAGGCTTCCTGGAAGAGCTTGCATTTTGGCTAAGTTTTTCAGGACAGCTGAACTTTTTCTGGACAAAGAGCTCTTTCAGGCATAGGGACCAACAGAATGTGGAAGGTCCAGAGACTTGCGAGGGAGCCTTGCTTGATTGGTCCTGGTTTGAAATGACTAGGATTCAAGGGTGTGGAAGGGATGAAGAAGGGGAAGAGAGGCAGCAAGACCGTGTGGCCTCACTAACTCYATGAGACTCTCCTGTAAGCGAAATGGAGCCATGGAAGGTTCTAGGCAGTGGCTGATTAGAGGAATGGTTCAGGAAATCTGGCTCTAACATGGGGATGGGGAATGTGGTGGCAGAGACTTAGCCAGGGGCCTGAAGGCCAAAAAGAGGTGACAGAAGAAAAGCTGATGTAGAAGAGGGCAAACCCAGACACAGAGAGGCCAGTGTGCCATGACTGATGGTTGGGTATGACATTGTTAGGCTTGCAGTGGACCTGGTTGAGGCCTATACCCTCACCATGAGCCCTCGCTTTCTCCTTATAGACCCTGAAGACCTTGCGGCAGGTGGAGGTGATCAATTTCGGGGACTGCCTCGTACGCTCCAAGGGGGCCGTTGCCATCGCAGACGCCGTCCGTGGGGGCCTGCCCAAACTGAAGGTACCTTTGATCTTCCCTCCGGGCTCAGGTTTCCCCATGCTCAGGAGCCCTGCCCATGTAGGGTAGGGGTCTGGGCTGAAGGCAGATGGGCCGGGGCCATAGCCCAGTTCCTCCACTCGTGTGATTTTGTGCAAGTCTCTTTACCTTTCCAAGACACAGTTTCTTCATTTAAAATAATGGGAGGAAGGCAGTAATGTGCATCATTCTAATATAATTTACGTAAGTATGTTTAGTATTTGGTACTTCATTGGGTACATGGCATTTTATTGTATTTATTTTTCTCACCTGCCTTTCCCTCTTGTGAGGAAAGTGAAGTTTGAGGACAAATAGCACCTGGTCTTCTGGCTCAGATTTCTGCCTGTCCCCATCCTCTCCTCTTAGGAGCTGAACCTGTCATTCTGTGAGATCAAGAGAGATGCTGCCCTGGCTGTTGCTGAAGCCGTGGCAGACAAGGCTGAGCTGGAGAAACTGGACCTCAATGGTAGTCAGGGTGGGACAGCCTCAGCACAGTCCTGTGGGACTGGGCCTGGCACCATCTTGACCTTCCTGTCTTCCCTGAGCAGGAAACGCTCTAGGAGAAGAGGGCTGTGAGCAGCTGCAGGAGGTGCTGGAGGGCTTCAACATGGCCAAGGTGCTGGCGTCCCTCAGGTAGGGAACTGTATGGGTGGTCGCAGAGGTCAGACATCAGGCTATTCCTTCAATTTTTTCCACTTATATTCATCCAAAATTTGTTCCTTGGGCCTCTGTTATGTGTTAGGCTCTGTGCTTGACACTAGGGAAAAAAGAATGAGAGGTTAAGGTTTCTTTCCTGTAGAAATAAGGCAGAATGTCCAAGCCATTGTGTGTTTAGCAGGGGTTGAGCGAGGCCCCCCTGTGGAGTGGCAAGTCTCCAAAGGGCTGATGTTAGTTAGATCAGATCTTGGTGTAGCAGGAGCAGCAAGTATGGAGGGTGGGAGGCAGGTCCCCTTGCAGGAACGGGCTCAGTGTTATTCTAAGGGCCTAACTAGAGGGTGATAGATAGGTATAAGAGTGAGGATTCCAAGCCCATGTGGCAAGGGTGGGCAGCGAGGCAGCTGCTTCTCCTGCTGGATTACAATTGGTTTGTGCCCTTGCCACCCTGCTCTTTCTACCTCTCTCCTCTCCCAATGGGTCTTGCTCATGTGTCCTTCAGTTAGATACCCTCAAGCCTGGGCCCAGGCTGCTGCTGGAAACTGAGCACTCAGCAGTTGGCTGAACCTCCAGAGGCTRGTGGTCCAGGAGAACTGGAATGCTTTCCCTAGGGTCAAGGAACTCCCTCATCTCCCCTTCCCCCACACCTGAAGCTTGCTGTGGTCAGCAAGAAGTAAATGTCACTGTCCTGAGCATCTCAGCCTAGAAAGGTTCTGCCAAGCYCAGTGAAAGTTTTCTTACTTTTCTTTGCCTCTGAGTGGGATGGAGGCCTTTGAGATAGAGACAAGATCTGATTCTGTGTCCATGGCATGGGCTTACAAGGGTGATGCTCTGCCCCGAGATCGCGTGGCTCTCTTGCCCTCCCCAGGCTCTGATGTGTCTCTGGGCTTACAGAGCCAGGCCTCTGAGCCAGTGTGGTCCACTGGGCAGGGAGGATCTGCTTTAGCCAATTCCCCTCTGCAGTGATGATGAAGGTGAGGATGATGAGGATGAGGATGAGGARGAAGGAGAAGAGGAAGAGGAGGAAGAAGAGGAAGAGGAAGAAGAGGAGGAGGAAGAGGAAGAGGAAGAAGAGGAGGAAGAGCCCCAGCAGCAAGGGGAGGAGTCAACCACACCCTCAAGAAAAATTCTGGACCCCAACAGTGGGGTAAGTGCCTTGTCATTTGCTAGGATCAGAGTTTAAAAATAGAGTGAAAAGTGAGGCATATTATAGAAACCCTGATGTTTTCCTTTTTTCATCTCCTAGTGGGTTATTCTGGTGACTCTTAGGGACAGCCCTCTGTTGTGGAGATTGTGGCTAGGATCGTGACACATACTTGGCATTCCTTGCTTGGCTGTGGTGGCACTGGGCCCCCATTCATTGTGTTCTCTCATAGGTGTGTAGGACCAGGACTGTCCACATTCCCGTTGAGCTGGGCTTCTTCCCTGGGTTCTGGAAGCAGTCAGATGGCAAGGCGCTTCTTGGGTGTCAGTGTCCTTTGGGCAACACTGGCCTAAGCTAGACTGTAGTTCCTAGAAGGATCACTTTAGCAGCCCCTGTGTGCCTCTCCCTTGAGTCATTTCTGGGGCCTTGCACATCTTGGTAGAGATTTACTTGTAGTGTTAGGAAGGTGCCTTGTTCTCTCCCCCAAAGGTTTCAGGACCAGGAACTGCGCAGAGTAGGAGGAATAAGTCTGAACTCAGTCCTTGACTGGCTGGAGAGAGGAGTGGGTGTTCTGGGAGTGGGAATGGGCACAGCTGGGGTTTGGAATCTATAAACCCCCCTGCCACCCTTTTCTCAGGAGCCAGCTCCTGTGCTGTCCTCCCCGCCTCCTGCAGACGTCTCCACCTTTCTGGCATTCCCTTCTCCAGAAAAGCTGCTGCGCCTTGGACCCAAGAGTTCTCTGCTGATAGCCCAGCAGGTAAGAGCACTTCCTGACTGCACGTGCCTGGGCCCTGAGGTTGTCAAAGGGAAGGGACACATAGAACTTTGGGGAGGGGAAGGATGTTCTCAACTGGGGGTCTGGCCTGCCACTGTTTTGTTTCAGTATGAACACATGCATGTGAGTGTTTCTGCTGTATCTGGTACCCTTCAGTGGATGCAGATGTCCGCATCCCAGTGGGAACACACTTTTTGCCTGCAGTAAGTGTGGCCTGCCATACTCCAGCAATGACTATAGAGTTAGGGGGTTTTCTCAAGACTCTTGCATATGTGTGCCTATTCAGTTACTTCTAGAAGAGTGCTCCCCCCCAAGGAAGCCTCTGAATATGAGGTCCCCTCTCTCTGGAGTTTAGCTACACAGAGGACACTTGCTTCCACTATATCATTCATGAAGCTTCCTGGGATCTGCAGTCCACCTGCCCCAGGACTCCTTGGCAGATCAGGTGTATGTTGCAGGGAGGCGACCCTTGCTCCAGCCTCACTTGGTTCATTGGTTCATTCAGAGATGATTATCAAGCACCTGTTTCCTGCTTGGCACTCAACTTGGACATGATTTTATTGATCTTTTGAACTTGTCACTTTTTTCCTCCCCTAGACTGGCCTCAAACTCCTAGGCTTTTTCTTTCATAATGAATGAAATTATATAAACCTTTTTGTGTCCTAACATTCTCATTTCACACCATTCTGCGTTTTCCTGTCAGAACTCTTTTCGTGCCCTTCCAGTGTGTAGACCTGACACTTAAAAGCAATCCACAATTTCTGGACATTTATATATTTTTTTCACTTTTCCCCATTGTCATTGAAATTGAAGTAAATTTCCATGCATGTTCTGCATTTGGGATGATTTTTTCAGGCTAGATGACAAGAGGACTGACCACTGGGTCCTGAGGGTAATGATTTTTTTTGTTTTTGTTTTTAATGGTACTGGGGATGGAGCCCAGTACCTCTTGTGTGCTAGGCAAGCTTTCTACCACTGAGCTACACCCCGCAGCCCTTTGGGTTTTGTATTTGAGACAACTTCTTGCCAAATTGCTAAGACTGGCCACCCCAAACTTGCGGCCTGTCTTAGCCTCCTGAGTAGCTGAGGGTTTTTTAAGCATTTGCCGTCGGGCCTGACTGGGGTTAATAGAATTTTTGTTTATTCATCTGTTCAGTCACCCCACAGCTGCATACATTTCGTGGCCTGTGCACATATTGCCAAGGCCTTGTCTGACCAGCAGCAGAACCCAGGCATCTCCACCATGCACCAGAGCCCCGGGCCCATGTGACCAACTCTTTGTTTCTTGTGACCTCAGACGGATACATCTGACCCTGAGAAAGTGGTCTCTGCCTTCCTGAAGGTGTCCTCTGTGTTCAAGGATGAAGCCACAGTGAGGACAGCAGTGCAGGATGCAGTAGGTAACGCAGGCTGGGTGGTTTCCGCTGCATACCTGTGACCCTCTAGGCCATATGTGACATTAACTCGTAGCTGTTGGCACTCCTATGTTCCTGCACTGACGAAGTCACTTGACCCCAATCTTACATCAGSTTCTTAGGCAGGCTGGTGGCTCTCCTATGGGTCAGTGTTCTGTTTTTGTTTTGTTTGTTTTGGTTTTGGTTTGGTTTGGGTTTTGTTTGTTTGTGGTTAAGGATTAAATCCAGGGGCACTTTGCCACTGAGATATAACTCCAGCGCTTTTTATTTTTTATTGTGAGAAAGGATGTTACTAAGGTGCTCAGGCTGGCCTCCAACTTATGATTCTCCTGTGTCAGCCTCTCACGTCACTGGGATTACAGGTGTGTGCCACCATGCCCACCTTGCTTTCCTGTATTTTGGAGCTGGGGAAACTGCGGCCCTTCCCAGAGCCATATGGCTGTACACAGTTAGCACTTAGGCGAGGTAGTCACATCTCCAAGGCCCTGTGGATAAGTTCTGTGAGGGAAGGGCCTTTGTCCCACCTGGGAGCCTCTTTATATGCAGTTTCTGCCCTCTGAAGGTCACCTATGGAGAGGACACCTGCTTTTCACCACCATTCGTGAGGCTTCCTGGGATCTGCAATCCACCTCCCCCAAGTGCCTCCAACCCATTCTCTCAGTCCCCTCCAGTCTGGTACCTGTCACCTGTAACCTTATTGCCATCTTTTTGATGTGGACCAGATTTGGCTGAGCAGAGAGGAGAAGAAGGGCCCTGCAGAAGAGCTCAGCTCATGGCAAAGGAGAGAAAGGAATAGGAGCACGTGTGGCACTTCTTTCCTTGATTGGTGCTGGAAGGCAGGAGCTGATCCTCCCTCAGAAGCAAGGCTGGGGAGGAGGCAGGGTCAGTGGGAATCTCCAGGACGCTTCCTCAAGGGTCCACTGTGGGCATTTGTAGGAACAAAAGGCCTGACTGAATTCACTTTCCCATAAAAAAATCAAACAGTTCCTGCAGGTCCCCTTGCCTTGTCAAAATATCAAAAACCTCACCCAGTGGTGGTCTCCCTCACTAAATTCTGCCCCCACCGTATCTAGTACCCATGTCCTGTGATCTCTCCCCATATCTACCTCTTGTTTTTTGGGGGGTGAGGAGTGGGGTTTTTGGTTTTGGGGTACTAAGAATTAAACCCAAGGGCCCTTTACCACTGAACTATTMCCCAGCCCTTTTTATTTTGAGATAGGGTCTAATTGCTAAGGCTGGCCTCCAATTTGCAATCCTCCTGCCTCACTGAGATTACAAGGCATGCCTTACCTCACTTGTCTCACCTGTCTCATGTCTACCTTTTGGTAGGGCAGGGAGGGCTGTTTCCGTTCTCCTCTGCTCAACCAAAAAAATCTAGCTCATTTCAAAGAAATGGCAACCAGGTGACAGGTGTCAAACTACAGGGAACTGTGTTTGAGGRGCTCTGAATGTTCCTTGACCCGTGCCTAACTCTGTCCTGCATCCTGTGCCTTTACTCCTGCCCCTRTAGATGCCCTCATGAAGAAGGCCTTCAGCTGCTCCTCCTTCAACTCCAATGTCTTCGTTACCAGGCTCCTCGTCCACATGGGTCTGCTCAAGGTGAGGCTGGAAGGAGTGGCGGCCTGGGAGGGAGGAGGCAGGCAGCTGAAGGTGCACTCCCAGCACAGCCTATACTGAAGTCTGGATCTGCTTAAATAGCCTTAGGCTTTAAGAAGGGATCTCAGCTAGGCCTCAGCCACATGGCTGTGTCAGCAGAATCTAGGTAGTGGGGATCAAGGGCCCCCAAGTAAATTTGGGGCTCACCTGCCTTTCTGTGTTGCCTTGCAGAGTGAAGATAAGATCAAGGCCATTGGCAACTTATATGGCCCCTTGATGGTGCTGAACCACATGGTGCAGCAGGACTACTTCCCCAAGGCCCTGGCACCCCTGCTTCTGGCATTCATGACCAAGTGAGTGTGACCTTGTTGACATTTTACTTCAGCCTGTTCAGGAGGTGCCAGGTCTAGGAGTCCAGCCCAGCACCTCAGTGTGCAAAAGGCAGAGGGGCAGTCATTGTGAAAACTAGAAAAATTGAGTCTGGCACAAAATGGCCTCCCTAGCTGGAGAGTCCCTGCTGGAGGCTGAGCTCCAGATCCTGACATGTTCACCCCATTCACTGAATTTTCTTCCCTGCAGGCCCAATGGTGCCCTAGAATCCTGTTCCTTTGCCCGCCACAATCTACTACAGACGCTCTACAAGGTCTAGACTCAAAGCTGGCCTCGATTTATCCCTCAGCCTGTGCCGGGGACTTGGATGAACTGAGCTGCAGCCTATGCCCCCCACAGACAGGACTCTGACCAGAGGCAGGGAGGGTCTTTGTCTCATGTGTCATGACCCCTGAGAATGTGTGTGGTGTGTGTGCTTCCTGTTGGCTGGGGTTTCTGCGTCTCTCTGCTGGACTGATCCTGGTCCACCATGAGGAACTGGCCCTTGGGGCAAGGGGTGCAGGCTGCTTTGCCATTAAACTCACTGCCATCTGAGGGCACTCTGCTGATTTGTGCCTCAGGCCTGAGTCCCTGGTGGCTGTCTCACCTCCTCTGCAGCCTTCCTGCCCACTCCTGGGCTGCACAAAGCCTGGGAAGCCGCTGTCCATGTGCTACCCTCTGCCACAGTTGGGCTGTTTCCTGCGTGGCCTGCATCTGCAGCACTGCTGTCCTCCCATTCATGCCTGCTGTGCTGACTGCTCAGCCAGAGATTACCAAGAGTGGGGTGGAGTGCTTGTCAGCAGAGGGCAAGGCCCTGGCCCCCATGCCACATGGACCAGAAGAGGAGCCAGGGRCTGGCACCAGTCAGTCCAGGAACAGGAGCTGCCTCAGACTGTGCTGGCTCTGGTGCCCATTGGGGACTGAGCTGGGCAGGCCCAGACCTGTTCTTAAGCCCAGAGAGAGAGTGGCAGATCCCCCTGATGCCTGAGCTGCATCTTGAGGTCAAGGGAGAGATGGGATTGGGCTGAGCAGGAGGTGCCCTCTGACCTCCTTTAGTGGCCACRGGTGCCCACCTTGTGCTTCCTCCTTGTGCTCTGTGTTTGTCTGGGCTGTGCCTGGGAGCTTAAATAAAGTCATGTCTGCCAGCTGCAGAGACCAAGAAGAGTCTTTCCCCTGAAGTGGGACATTCTCTGACCTCTTCCCTCAGGGCCAGGTGCATCCTCCACTGTCTGATGTCTTCCTCTGGGCAGTGGTGCCGAGTTGGGCTTTTTTTTTTTTTTTTTTTAATTGGAGATTTAACCCAGAGGCGCTTAACCACTGTGCCACATCTCCAGTCATGTTTTTAAATTGATTTTATTTTTTTGTAGGTGTAGATGGATACAACACAATGCCTTTATTTTTATGTGGTGCTGAGGATCAAACCCGGGTCCCACCGGTGCTAGGTGAGCACTCTATCGCTAAGCCACAATCCCAGCCCTGTTTTTAAATTTTCATTTATTGAACACAGGTACTCAACCACTGAGCCACGTCCCCTGACCTATTTTTTATTTAGAGACAGGGTCTTGCTCTGCTTAGTGCCTCACTTTTGCTGAGACTGGCCTTGAATTTGCAATCCCCCTGTCTCGGCCTCTCAAACCACTGGGAATACTACAGGCATGTGCCACAATGCCCAGCAGATGGGGCCTATTTTACCTGTATCCGACACCTTGCCCGTTACTCCACGTTTGGTCTCACCTTCTTTAGCTTCTTCGTTGTTCCTTCATTTTTGGACCCAGCTGGGCTACACTGTCCATAGGCCCCTGGCCTTGCTGGCTGTAGTCAGGAGCCACTGGACCTGTCTGGCAAGGTCACTTCGGAGATTTGGGCCCAACTAGCAACCACACAGGATGTCAAGGCCTTGTGGTCCTTCACTCCACTGCCACACGTATGAGGATACCCAGCAGACCTTCCTTACCTCCTACCTTCACAGCGGACCTGGTGGGAGCCTGCGTTCCCCTACAGGGGGCTTCCAAGAAAAGTTCCTCTTAAGGCTTCTTAGGCAGCGTTTCCTTTGGCTCTCTCTTGGACAGCTTGTTGCTGACAAGAACAACTCGGCAGAAATCTAGTTTGGCTTATGGTTTCAGAGGTCTCATTGCTCTTTCTCTGAGCCACAGGAAAACAGAACATGAAGGGCATGTTGGAGGAAAGTTGCTCAGCTCTGGTGGCTATGAGGTAGGAGGGGGGATCCAGGGATAAAGTATATATGATCCCTTAGGCTAACATCCCCCAGTGACCCACTTGTCCAGCCATGCACCACCTGCCTACTTAATACTTAGTGGATTAATGATTTGAAGGGATTACTAAGTGGACTAAACCACTGATGAGGTTAGACCTCTCATAATCTGATCATTTCACCTGCATTAATAGGACCTTTCRAGGACACCTCACATCCAAACCATTAACAGGATGGTAGAGTTGCTGCCAGGGCCCTAGGATATCTACCCCCGCCCTCAGCTTTGACTTCTTACTAGCCCCTGTTCTGAGCTCTAGAGCCATAGGCACTTCCCTTTTGAAATTCCCAGTTTGGTTAGGAGACCAAGCCCTCAGTATAGGGACAGTAGGCAGTGGGGTGAGGAAAACAGTCTTGCTGTTCAAATTGGCCAAGGTTCTCTGGCCTGGCTCTTATGCTAGATGGCATGGGCTAACCTCCCTAGGGCAATGTACTTACAAAGCTTTAGCTYAGACTATAACCAGAGATCTCATTTCACTCAGGACAAACCATCAGTACCTGACTCCTAGAGCCTTGTCAGGAAGAATGCTGCTTGCTCTCTGAAGTGGAGGATTCTGACTTCCCTGGCCCCACATCACCAGTTCTAGGTGGAGAGAATAGCCTGGGCCTATAATTTGCTTACTGTGGTCTCCTTTGGGATTTCCTCCAGACCATGATCCTGGGCCTGAAAGATCCTAACTGCCTAAGCCTGGGCAGCCTGGGACCAGCCTTATGAAGGGTCTGCTGTGTACTCCTTACAGGAGACTCATCCCATAGACACAGGAGTCAACAGCTACTCCAATTATTTTCTTTTATGTGGATTTTTTAAATCTTTCTTTATTTTTATGAGGATTGAAGGATTGAAGACAGTGCCTCACAAGATATGCAAGGCAAGCGCTCTACCACTGAGCCACAACCCCAGCCCCCAATGATTATTTTTTTAATGACCTACTGGGAATGGAACCCAGGGCCTCACACGTGCTTGCCTACACAGTCCTGTCACCAAAGTCTGACCTTCCAGGAAACATGGTTAAGGGGGCTCTTAGTAGCATTTTTCCTATAGCAGGAACCTAGAAACTACTCATGGACCAACATCAGAAAGAGTGTGAAGCCACACAATGCAGTATTGTACAACAGTAAAGATGCACTAACCGCAGCCACCGGCATGGTATGGGTGAGTCAATAGCGATGTTGAGAAAAGAAAATAGTGTGATACCAATGGTTCAAAAACTAACAGCAGGGCGGCGGGGGCTGGGGCTCAGCGGTAGAGGCTCGCCTAGCCTGTGTGAGGCACTGGGTTCGGTTTTTCAGCACCACATAAAAATAAATAAAGGTGCTGTGTCCAACTATGACTTAAAATAGTAACAACATAGCTGGGTGTGGTGACACACACCTGTAATCCCAGTGGCTCAGGAGCCGGAGGCAGGAGGATCCTGAGTTCAAAGCCAGCCTCAGCAACAGCAAGGTGCTAAGCAACTCTGTGAGACCCTGTGTGTAAATAAAATACAAAATAGGGCTGGGATGTGGCTCAGTAGTTGAGTGCCGCTGAGTTCAATCCCCAATATTTAAAAAAAAAAAAATAGGGCCAGACAATATGGTTCAGTGATTGAGTGCCCCTGCATTCAATCCCCGGTACCTGCCCCCAAGGGGAAAGAAAAAAGTAAACCCAGGGTGGTGGCACAAGCCTGTATCCCAGCAACTCAGGAGGGTAAATCAGGAGAATTGTCAAGTTTGAGGCCAGCCTCAGCAATTTAGTAAGATCCTACACAACTTAGCAAGAATCTGTCTCAAAATATAACAAGGGTCTGGGGTTGTGGCTCAGAGGTAGAGCTCTCACCTAGCACACACGGGTCCCTGAATTTGATCCTCAGCAGCACATAAAAATAAAACAAAGGTATTGAAGAAAAGTCAATAGATATAGAAAAGAGGCATTTGACAAAATTTAGSACCCTTTCATGAGAAAACAACACTGAGTGTAGAAGGAAATTAACATAAATATGAAAAAAATAACAGAAGCTTTTCCTCTAACAGGGTAAAGATTAGTACACTCTCACCACTTCCTTTGAACGTAGTATAGTATTGGAAAGCCTAGCCAGAGCAAGGTTTAAGCAAGAAAAATAAAATCTATCCAAATCAGAAGGAAGATTTAAAATTGTCTGCATATGACATGATCCATATATACAGAAAATCCTAGAGACTCCATTCAAAAAGTTGTTGGAAGGTGGGAGTGGTGACACAAGCCTATAATCCCAGCTACTTGTAGGGCTGAGGCAGAATTTCAGACTCAARGCTGGCCTGAACAACTTAGTTATTGAGACCCAAGTTGAAGGCCAGCCTCAGCAACTTAAAAATAAAAAGGGCTGGGGATGTACCCCAATGACTAAGCACTTTTTTGGGGGAGGGTACCAGGGATTGAACTCAGGGGTGCTCAACAAGAACTACACCCCCAGCCCTATTTTTGTATTTTATTTATATCCTCCTGTCTCAGCCTCCCAAGCAACTGGGATTACAGGCATGTGCCACTGTGCCTGGTGATAAAGCACTTCTCTAGCATGTGCCAGACCCTGGGTTCAATACGCACTACTGTTAAAAAAAWTTWAAAAAAAAATTGCGAGGTGTGCTCAGAGCAGGGGGCCTGGAGAATGCTTCTCTGTTTACAACACACCCAACAGGAATATGGGGTTATTGTGACAAGGGGCACAAAAATTGTGGTTTCCCTATGATCAAATGCCCTACATGTGTACCCTCCATGTGACTTTCAGACAGGACCAGTGAGACAGGGCTGAACACTAAGCTGCAGTATGTAGTTTGGGAGGTGACCATTTAGAGCCTGTCCAGTCCA